AAATGATTTTAGGTACGGTTGACTCTTTCTTACATTTTTGCATAACAAAGCTTGCTAAAAGGAGATAGACATAATGTTCTGATTAGATTCCAACAGAGTTGCATGTTTGTCTTATTTCAATGCACAGTGTTATTCAAATTGTTAATTTGAAAATTGAATTTATTTGGTATGAAATGTTGACAGAATATTTGAAGAAAATTTAGTAGAATTCAATATTGTTATTGTTTAATAGTGTTGTTATTGCCATTTAAGTCATTGTATTATTTTATTAAGGAAACAGCAACCGAATGAATTGGATGTTTTGATGCTAGTGTATGCGGTGTGTTCAGTGCACTCCGGCAAATGTGCGTTTGGCAACAGGAGTACACTACAGGAAGTTAAAAAAATATGACATACACTCAGGCGTTGATGAATAATGAAATCAAGCTGCTTTGTAAATGAAAAAAAATCTTTTACAGAAATTAGTAGCCAAAAATTTATGCAAACAAAAATAAAATCCCAACTTAATGAGTATCTATCTATGTATGTTAATTGAACAGATTGAGTTGTGTATCTGTGAAATCATTTAAATTTTTAATCATGAAATATTTACAAGTATGATTTCATTATTTTTCTTTTGTCTGGTAGTATGGCTTATATATGCTCAATCTACAATCATTTCAAGTGATTTCACACAGCGAGGTGATAAATACCTAATGTGACCAACTATTTCGTCTGTGAATTGAAAAAGAAATTTTCAATCAAAAAGAAATTGATCGTCGTTTCCGAATATTCTGAAACGGGACACCGCAAAAAAAGCTGTTGACGTTATGGCAATTTCAAACGCATTTAGAGGAGCATAACGCGAGATGATCAAATAAACAGCCATCAAATTCAAATATCAAAATTTTTTGATTTTCATCAAGCATAGCCGACAACGAGTCGGTGTAGTGTACGTGTAGCCGACAAAAGCCGACGACACCAATACACTTAAAGCGTTGATAAAGACCGCGTCTCCGCGGCGCTTTATGTCGGTAAACCAGGCATGCCCATGTTGGTTTAGGGGGAGGGGCGGTGGGGGAGGTGCGTTTCTTGCTGATGAAGTGTTTTTCGAAATCAAAAAGCCAACTGTGTCCACCAGCAGTCGGATTCTAACTTTCGTTATAGCTAAAATATGCTAAAATGCGAAAGCTTACATTTTATCCGCTTTTCGCTAAATAAAAAATAGATTAGACTAAATTTTAGTATCACCAAGTGGCACTATTCAACAAAAACAGCTAAATTGCCCATTTTAATGGTGATAAATAGTGAAAATGGAGCAAAAAAATAGCAGACCCAATTTGGATTATATTTCATCTCCTGCAGCGTAACCATGGCTAAGTGACAAAGGCACTCGCACCGATTCGCAAAGACTATTGGTTTCATAGGGATTCGGATTCCTTTCCTGAAGTAGTAACGAAATTTCGCTGTACTATATAAATAATATCGGTGGAGAGTTGGGGAATACCTTGAAACCTTGAGTGAAAATGAAATGTTTTATGAACTGCCTTATGAATCTCTCCTCAAGGCATATCTGCGAGACATGTAGTATTTTTTTTTTTTTTAATTTACGAATTTCAATAATGCCATAATTAATGGCTAGATGAAATTATTTATGTACATATGAAATACATATTTTATTATGTAGCTCATTTCAAGGG